GCAGGATTTCGAAGAGGCAGAGGAACTAGAGATCAAATTGCCAACATACACTGGATCATGGAGAAAGCTAGGGAGTTCCAGAAAAAGATCTACTTCTGCTACATTGACTATGCTAAAACCTTTGATTGTGTGGATCACAACAAACTGTGGCAAGTTCTTAAAGAGATGGGAGTACCAGACCATCTTATTTGTCTCTTGAGAAACCTATATGTGGGTCAAGAAGCAACAGTGAGAACTGGACACGGAACCTCTGATTGGTTCAAAACTGAGAAAGAAGTTTGGCAAGGCTGTATATTGTTGCCCTGCCTATTTAACTTATATGCAGAGCACATCATGAGAAAGATGGGGCTAGATGGATCACCAGTTGGAATTAAGATTGCCGGAAGAAATATCAACCTCAGATAAGCAGATGATACCACTCTAATGGCAGAAAGTGTAGAGAAACTAAAGAGCCTCTTGATGCGAGTGAAGGAAGAGAGTGCAAAAGTTGGCTTGAAACTCAACATTAAGAAAACTAAGATCATGGCATCTGGTCCTCTCACTTCCTGGCAAATAGATGGGGAAGAAATGGAGGTAGTGACAGATTTTATTTTCCTGGGCTCCAAGATCACCACAGATGGGGACTGCAGCCAAGAAATTAAGACGCTTGCTACTGGGTAGGAAAACTATGGCAAATCTAGACAACATACTAAAAAGCAGAGACATCACCCTGCCACCAAAATTCGTATAGTGAAGGCTATGGTTTTCCCAGTCGCAATGTATGGCTGCGAAAGCTGGACCATAAAGAAGGCTGAGCGCCGAAGAATGGAGGCCTTTGAATTGTGGTGCTGGGGAAGACTCCTGCGAGCCCCTTGGACTGCAAGGAGATCAAACCAGTCAGTCTTAGAGGAGATCAACCCCGACTGCTCTTTAGAAAGCCAGATACTAAAGATGAAACTCAAATACTTTGGCCACCTAATGAGAGGGAAGGACTCACTGGAAAAGACCCTAACGCTTGGAACAATTGACAGCAAAAGAAGAAGGGGACAGCAGAGAATGAGGTGGCTAGATGGAGTCACTGAAGCAGTCGGCGTGAGCTTAAGTGGACTCTGGGGGATGATGGAGGACAGGAAGGCCTGGAGGAATGCTGTCCATGGGTCACGATGGGTCGGATGAAACTTCGCAACTAACAACGGTAACAGAACAATTTTGTATCGTTTACATGGATCTACTTTAGAAAGAGCTAGCTTTCGATATAACCCATTATGGTAATGTTATATAGTAGAATGCAGTGCACACACAGAAGGAATTAGATACATTCAGTCCCTGGGTTATGAATGTGTTCTGTTCCTGAGAAAATGGAAATTTATCTTTAAGCTAAATTTGCATGTAAGTTGAATCATGTATAATTGGTCCTGTAGTACAGTTCACTATAGTATAGTATAGTTCTCTACAGTAGAGAAAGAGAAATACTTTGCATAGCCAAGGGAACCAGTTCACACAAGAGCCTATGAATGAAGGTTTACATAGCAATAGACCTCAGAGTGACTGTAACAGCTACTGGCCTAGTCATCTAGAGACATCCTTCTGCCAGCTCTCCCTGTGTCACAACCGCAGGCTTATCTTTTAACAGTATCTTGCTTTTTCTTGTAGCAACAGATAAGAACTACAAAATCACAGTGCACAGCAACGTCTCTGTTCTTCTCTACTGTCACAAGAGAAAGAACATTCTGACATGGTCAGAGAGTGAATGAAAGCCAAAACATCATTTTGAGATTGTTCTAGCAACTATGCCTTTTTTCTTTTTTTATTCTTACTCTGGGCATGATGCAGAGCTCCCAACCTTGATCTTAAAAGCTCCTTCTCCCCCCCCCACCAACCCCAAGTTAGGATCTGGATCAAAGGTCCCGCACCTATTTATTTAATTTTTATTTATTTATTAAAACATTTCTATGCCGCCCCATTCGCCGAAGCCTCGGGGCGGCTCACAACATAAATTAAAATACAAGAAATAACAATATAAAATAAGTCGCTCTGGCCAGGGCGACCTACTCTATGGTAAAAATGAGAAAAGATCCTATGATATGGATTTAATATGGATCCTATGATATGAATTTAAAGTCATACCTGTTTTTCTTACGTAGATGGGTTGGTGGTAATACTACAAAAGTGTCAAGCAGGGCAATTTCCATAAGTGACTGTAGCAGTTGCCAGATCTGATAGCTGCTAGATTTATCCAGAGTAGAAATGATAAGCCAAATGTTCTCTACTATTCAAAATTAGTGACTGAGTGGCAATTCCACAAAGCCTTAATCCTATCTTTTCCTTGGGTATTCAGAATTGCTTGCAGCCAGTGATTACATTTGTCTTGCTCTTTTGTCAGCATCTTTTCACCTCTCTTTCATTCCTCAAGAGTTGCCTGAAACTTAGCAATCAAATAATGGCCATAAAGAGTTCACCTGCAATTCTGTTTGGCCAGTCAGATTTAGTTCTGTGCTGATGACACTAAGGTCAAGAGAAGCCCATTAAGGTTGGGCAGGACCCCTTGCATTTGTCACACAGGCCATCCTAAACAACAAAGGAACCTAGGAAGCTGCCTTATACTGGCCTGTCTGGTCGAGTGTTGTTGACACTGACTGGCAGCAGCAATTCACGGTTCCAAGCAGGCAGCCTTACCTGATATAGGGGTAGTGGATTCCAATGCGTTTGAATGTCTGCTAATTTGTAGAAACCTGGTCTACAGGTTCTTCATCAGGTTGACATCTATAGATCAGGTGGATTCCAGAGACACACATTTAAAAGCCAAATTAAATTATCATGCATCAATTAACTGAAAGTTAGTTGAAGTACATTATGCTATTAAGAAAAAGTAAAATACTGTATGTGTAACATTTGAAAAATTACATTCTTTGCAAATTTATTTATGTCACTTTCAGAATGGGAAAAAATCTGATTCTATGGTTTGTGAATGATGGAATGGACAATTCAGTCCAATCCATGCAACTCAAATGGAACAAGTTAATTAAAATCTGAATACCCTGAGACATTCTGCATGCAAAGGATATATTCCACGCTGAGCTTCTTGGAACAGACTAAAGCACTGTTGTTGTTCTTTTTGTTTTTCCTGTTTTTAGTTGTCTCACAATACTTTCCCAGAAATCATGAAGAAAGAGTTTTCTGGTGAAATGTTTCATAAATCTGTCCCCTCCTTTAACCTGAGCACAACCTGGAGCATTCACAGTGATTCTGCTTGCCTGTAAGCTCTGGTTTATATACTGAGACTGTAAGCAAAAATATTGCAACTAGATATGAGTATGCTGTCTCTATTTACTCTGAACAACCCCAAAACTGAAAGTGCACGGAATTTCTCAAGTAATCTGAAGCTCAGCAAAGCACTCCCTCTCACCAACCCTCCCAGTTCCGTAACACCTTCCCCTACTTATCTGGCCAGCAAAAGCAGTGGTAGCAAGCTGAGGGAGCAGCAGGAGGAGGTTTCTCTCTTTCTTCCTTTACCTCCTTTTCCTCCTGGCACCAAAGGCAGGAAGAGTATGGCTTGTATGCGAGGAGGAGGGAGGCTATCCCTACTCCCCAGTCTTGGCAGGAGGAAAAGTAAGTTGGCCCCTGAGACACACAGGGGCAGAAAAGGGGCAAACCTGCCTCCTCCACTCTCCCTGCACATTGTTGCTGCCATTGCTGAGCCTGTAAGGACATGGAAATGTTTGGAGAACAGGGTGGGTAACTGGGAATTTCTTCTCCAGTTCAAATTTTAATCCGAGCCAGAGAAGAATTGGGTAACTGTAAAGCTTTTGCTAATCCTGAAAGTCCTCTTTGAATTTAGTTCAAAATTGCCTGGGCACCTTGCTGCGTAATGCAAAAGCATTCATATTGCAAGCACACACATGCTTCTGAGTGTTGAGTTCTGTCCCCACTGCTTTAAAAGGCCCTGATGTACAGTCACAGCATTTTAGATTTTCTTTCAATAGTTCTGAAAGCAGCAATGTAATAGCAGTTATTAATATAATCTGTGGGGTTTAGTCCTTGTTTCCTCACCAGACTGGGAGGTCATGACTCATCAATACTGTCCTGCCTGTCTGCCAGCACAGATGTCTTTTCGAATGATATTGCTTGCTTTGTGTATTGATAGGGTGTCAGCAGAAAAAATGCTTACTTACCAAAAGGTCAGCATGCAGTTTAATCCATGTCAGAGGACCCACTTTGTGAACGGTCAATTGCTGAAACATAGATTTTAACCTTTTTAGTTCTCAGCATCCTGGGCTACTTTTGACTTAGAGTGCACTGGAATGACACAGCTGCAGATGTATAATTGTAGTTTTCTATCATCCATTTTCAATGAGAAAATTATCATACATTTTTCTCCTACCAATTTAATCTAAGCTAGTAGATTGGTCTGGTTGTTAATACAAATGAAAGGAACTTGTATTGCACATGTTGAGCATGGTACTTAAGTATCCCCCATGAAATTAGGTTTGACAAGTTCATGTGCTGTATCATCATTATCTCCTCTGGAAGTGCCTACCAGCTTAGAAGCACAACAGGGCCACCCAAAAGTAACTGAGTGGTTTGTGCATACCTTGGGGACTTCCTAGTTATGTAGAAAAAAATAACCAAAACAGTTAGAAAGGTTTCTGCAAGCTTCCAAACTGGAAAAAGTTAAGTAGTTGCTGAACCTGTAGCAATGCTGGGAGAAAGGCCTAAAGCAGGGGTAAGCAAACTGGAACTTTCCAGATGTTTTGAACTTTGACTCCAATAATCCCTGACCACCAACCTTGCTGGATGGGTTTATGCAAATAGCAGGCCAAAAAACATCTGGAGGGTACCACACTGTCTACCCCAATCCAAAGGAGCCAGAAATTAAGCAAACTGCATGAGTTTATCAGAAGAAGGAAGGAAGGAAGCAAGCAAGCAAGCAAGCAAAAATGAGGTGAAGGGCAGGGCAGGGGAACACAGTATACAGTGGTACCTTGGTTCACAAACTTAATTCATTCCACGATTCTGGTTGCGAACCGAATTGATCGCAAACTGAATCAAATTTCCCCATAAGGTTCAATGTAAAATAAGGTTAATCTGTTCTGAACCATATGTAATTTTTTTAACCACAAAAATATGAAACAAAGTAAAGTACAGTACAGTATGAAGAGAGAGAACACTAACCTTGCTTGAGGTGACTTCTGGTGTGGAGGACAGGAAGGTGGGTGGGGAGGAGGTTATTGTTTGGAAGGAGAGTCTGCGACCGTGATCTTGACTAGAGGAAGCCACGACCAGGTGTCAGACCAGGGAAGATGGCCGCATTTGTGTTCATGCGAGGAAAATGGCCACATTCGTGTTCGTGCAGATGGCCGCAATTGTGTTCATCACCTGATGCGGAGTTCACGAATGGAAGCAAAATGTTGCCAAACTTTCTGTTCCCGAACCAAATTCAGTATTACTGTATTAGCTTGCTCAGATATAAAACAGTTTACTATTAAGTATTATGGAGAAAGAGAATTAAGATTAGGAAGATATTTGCTATGCCATGAAACTTATTTTTTCCACTGTAAAGTGATTTTTAGATAGAAAGGAAGGGAAAGGAAAACCTCTAACCTTTTACATTCTCCAGAACTGTATGCCCCCAAAATATGTAAGTGGAAGATAGGGCTGGAGAACTTTTCTCAGCTCCAAAACTGAATTCCAATCTGTGAAAGTTTCTCAGAGGTTTTGTTCCTTCTGTAAACAGAGCCAAAGGCAAACTGGGCAGAACCAAAAATGTGTGTATTACTGATTTCAAGGCTATTCAGAAGTAAGCAGTATTTGAATTACCAGTCCTCTGCCTATTTGTTCAGAAGCAAGCAAGAGCATCATTTTTACACACAAGGAAGCAAGGCAAAGCTTTGTATGTACTCCCAAGCAAATTAAGTCTCAGAAATAAGCAGGTATGAACAATTTTTCCCCAGGTTCCTCCCACTCTTACTGCAGGAAGAATCTCTTACTTCTGATCAGGTCGTGATCGGAGATGAGAGCATTTCCTTGTTGCAGAGTAATACAGGACCCATTTCTCACTGCACAGTAAGGGAAATCTCACTTGGTGGTTAGAGGTAAGAGTTTTTCCTGCTGGAGTGGGTGGGAGCAGGGAACAGGCTGGCCAACCTGATATGAAATCTACCCTCTGGAACAAGAGGTGCTCATGTTTTGGGCTGGCAGCCATTACACACAGTCCTGAAACTGCCCACATCCCAAAAGCATGAAGAGCAGCATATAGCTGCATGGAACCCTAAGATGAGGATACACTACAGCAAGGGTTGGCAGGAGTACATCCCCATATATTTTGTATCTCAGCTTCCAGCGTTCTTGAACAATGGTTATGCTGATAGAGTCTTCTGCGAATTGAAGTCCAAAAACACAGGAAGGTCTACTTTCTGCCCACACCTTCTGTTTCAAGCCCTCTAATACCATATGTGGGTTCAGTTCAGAAGTTAAATCTAAAAATAAGACAGTAGTTTCTGCATAATCCAGGGACTTCCCAAATGCACAGAAGTCTTTTTCACAATGCGTCAGCACTCAAGTGACAAACTGTATGGTCAAAGAATTAACCAAAAACTTACCACAGAATTATCACACCATAACTCAGCCTTGTAATTAACACCACAAGATTTACTAGCTACAAAAATGTGCAAGTTTGCATGCCAGTCATGCAAATAAAAGCATTTGTGACTAACAGGGGGGAAACCTCGAAGTTTAGAAAAATTTCAAAAATATTCCTAGAGACCAAAGGGTGGGCCTGGGGAAACATCATGCAGATCTCCAGTTGAAGTTAGGCATGTCTGCTGCATATGCTTTCTGGATGGAGTGGAGGTCATCTGGGAATTGTACTTAATCCTCTGAGTTATTGGGCTGCTATCCATGCATTTTAGACAGCATGCTCCCAGCATGCCCCAAGCAACCATGCTAACTGAGGAATGGTGACTTTTTCCTGTACCTTAAAGGGATTATAATTTAACATCTTTGTGGGGAAGTGGTAAATGTGATTGGGTTTGTGCTCCTTCTGGAGCTATTACTGGTCTGTTCAGATTTGTTTGACCATTTGCTCCATGTCCTGTTAATCCCAGAGACAGAAATGAATGTACATTTTCTTTGTAAGCATCACATCCTTCACATGTGTTTGGGAAAATAAATGCATCTTTCTATATTATAGTACTTAGTGAAGGTGTTAGGAAGACCCAAGCCTGTCATTGTGAGACTCAGGTTTTCAAGAAAAATGGAACAGAAGATGAGGAAGCTCCTGAAAAGCAAGCGAAACAAGTTGAAAGGAGAGAAACTGCTCTAGTTTCCTCTCTACTGAAACTAGAGAGGGTAGTACAGCCTCAAAACTGGAAAAGAATGATAGTTAGCTGTAGGGTTGGATGGCTCAGTCTGTTTCTGGTCTACATCAACTTCACAGTTGTACAAAATTGAAAATAATCTGCATGGAAATCGCCATACAAATATGTATTTCAATGCAAATGTAAAATATACAAAATAAGACTTTCTAAACATATTTGATTGCAATGTATGTTTGTCCAAACACTGCTTATTTCAAAAGATGATATTTTAATGCACTTTATTGGAATAATACCACCGCATTCAAAGAAGTACAAAATCTAGAGGCAAATCACATCCCTACTTTAGGTCAGGGTATAAAGATCAGTTCAGTTTACATGAGAATTTACCAATGTCAAATTCCTCAAGTTTTCCAACTGATGTGTGAACCCCTATCAGAGCACCCATAAACATTCAAATGTCCAACATTTGAAACATATCTGGAGAGGGGTTAAAAAAAACAAAACATTCAGCCAGAATAACATTCAATATTCCTCAAACACTCCAGATGAAATATGAAAAAGCGGGAGGTGGTTTGCCCCCCTCTTTTGCCATAAATCTTTCCCCTCTCTAAAATTTGGGATAATTCTTTGAAAGTTCAGTTGAGCACTAGATATTAGTACAAAATTCCCATTTACATACCAGCACTGGCTTTGGTCCATGAAAAGTTAGATCACTTTTCTTTTTCTAGTCACTGGGGCATAAAAGTGCTTAGCTTTGGTGTGATCATGCCCACAACCAGGCATCACTAAAACCATGCAATTTTCCTTCACTGGCAGGGAAGCCAATCCTTTTGGGCTACTGGGCACATTTAGAATTTGAGAATATGTCACAGGCACTGTCACAAAATGGCTACCATGTGGTTTGCCCATTCATAGAATGGCTGCTTTGAGTGTGAATTGGTGACTTACCCTAAGGCAGAGGGTTGGTCTCAGCTCCAGGACACAGAACCACTCCTTTTTCTGCTCCAAGATCTAGAAAGATACTCACTTTATGGAAAGCAAACTGGTGAAAGACACACCAACAGATCCCACACCAAAATATTAAAGCCAGGAAACACACCCACACAAACACACAGCTCAAGGCCCTGAGGGACACTTCCTACCACCATTGCTATGGTTGCTAAGTCTGATGGGAGTTCTGTGCCAAACCATCTGGAGGGCCACAAGTTGCACAAACCTCATAGAATGCATTTGAGAATGGCCATAAGGATGTAGAGAAAGTTCCTTACTTTGAATCAAGTCGTGTTTCACTCAATTTCATTCCCATTATTTTGCCCAAAAGTCTGCTTGTAGCAATTGCATTTTTGAAAACCTTAACATCTTATCTATAAATACAAGTACCTACTTTTTATTCCCTGATGAAATATTTATGAGCAGCAGAACTCTCCTTATCAAGAGAAAATATATAATTTAATTCAGCATTTTTCCACCTTTGCAACATGAGAGTAATTGGCAAATTGAGAAGCAAACAAACCTCAGAAGGTTAGGTTAGATAAAAAAACATGTCCAAGTGTTGCTTCAGAGCAACTGCAAACTCCACTGTGAAACTATATAGAATATTTTTGTTAAGATATTTTGTCTTCAGGGTTCTTGCAGGGATGAATGTGTACCTATACAAGAATCATTCCCCTCATCACTCGGACTGTACAAATATAGGAAGAATGGCAAGCCTATCTAGAAAGAGCAAAACAAGAATTAAAAGGTGCTCTGCAAACGAGAAGTAATCACATGCAATCTATCACCTTCCTCATGCACAGCTATGCATGCAGGAACGAATACGAATCCCCCAGAGAGCTCCCTAACTCCTAGGCATGCTAAGTGCATACTTTGTTTATACTCTTGGTCTTGGACAGAGGTCACAGCATTCCATTTATTAAATTCATAACTTTTTAATTTCCCAATTTCCATCAAATGTGCTTCCACACTCAATTAAATAAACAGAAAGTGCAACAAAGAGGCACAGGAAACTCGTGAAGAAAAATCAAGAGGCTTAGGGCTGCTCTGGGGCTTCACCTGATGGTCAGAACCAGAAAACCCAACTCAGTACTTGCAGGATTGGTCCCAGGCCCTGCTGGAGCATTCAGCCTCCTGACGGTGCCAGCTGACAGCCCTGGGGAAAGAGCTACATCAGGGCAAGCTCTTTGCTCCACATCTGGTCTGAGCAACACAGGTCTATTGGCTGAAGTGCCTGTATCAGTCCAGTTCACAACCTTATGTATACTCATCAGGTGCAAGAGGCTGTCTACCCCAGCCTCACCCCATCTTCTAAGATATGAAAAGAAAATCTGCCCTGTCCGCCTTTGTGACAAAATCTGTATCATTATTTCATATGCACTTCCAATATGGTGGCATCCCACATGGTTCCCCTTCCTGTTGGGAGTGGAATCCTCCTAGGCCAGCAGGCATTTGGGATTTATCACTCCTGTTCCTGCAGAAGGTCAGAGCTTGGCTCTCTCCCCCACTTGCTCCCCACCCCCACTACCCAAGGGAGTTTTTTCCCTTTCCTGAGAACACACTTGGGGCTTTCTAGAATGTGTAAATACCAGGTTCACATACA